GTTACAAAAACGCTACGGCTTTTCAATGAAATAAAAATTTGGTGTTATATTTTTGTCAAGCAACAGCTAGTGCTGAGGCCGTTAATTCAAAGCGCCCTTCCACCAGCGCCTCGCATACTGACTCTAACCTGCCAATCCGTCCTTAAGTCCGTCTGCTTCAACGGCATTCTCAAGTCAATGCAGTCGCCTTACACAGTAAACCTAACGCGTGCAGACGAGTTCTAATATCTTCTGAGAGCTAATATCCTTGCAGAGGTAAGTTCTATCGGCTGCTTGAAAGTGGCGCATATAGACTCCCTATTGTCACCTAGAACATGCCGGTGCTCCCCAAGTGAACCTCCGCCCAAAATAATATTAAACAACCCCGTGTTGCCCACCTTTCGACCCCCTTCTACATGCGCACTAGCCATCGTGTTCATTCTGCTGATGGCTTTCATTTCTTCTTTTTTTGTTGCTTTTTATGCCTGGTTATTTACTAATTTTTGCACTTTCAAACGTTCTTCTACGCTTGAGGCGGAAACTGCGATGACATATAATTGTATGTTTGTCTGAGGTAGTCCGTGAGACGGACACTGTGGATTGCATTTTATTTTGCAGCGCAGTAAGATACGAAGTCTCGATGAAGAAAAGTGGAGAAAAGTGTTTTTCACAAAGCATTTTCAGCTTCTGAAAGAGCTGTCTGGGGAGACCCTTAATTAGCCAAGAAGTGTCGTAAATCCTAGTCGAATTTAAGATGATCCATTAGAATGTAAACTGGTTTAGAGTCAGGTAGTATTGTCTCCCGTAGTTTCTAACCAAATGGTGCTCGCCGTCAAAACAGTAGCACATGCTGTCCTCTCGTGTGTACATATCGATTTTTCGTTTAGTAGTTCCCACCTTTCATCCGCTTTCATGCCGTTCACTAATGTATACTTCTGGACAGGTATCGTTGAAGTTTTCCCGTTTCCCCGTCTCCAACGGCATTAGCGTTCTTTCTGACTTCTAATATATTTGGCAACTAATATCACCAATTCACATCTAATAGCCCTTTTCAGAATTTTACCGAGCACTTATATTTAGCTTGGATTGTATACTATCCCTGCAGACGCGGGCAAAAAAACACCGGAAAATGTAGGATTCGAATTCTGATTGAATTGGCGGAATAATGTACGCTACTTTCATCGGGTGGTTTCACTGACTGTTTCATTAACTTCAAGACCGCCTGTGATTCCATCAACAAAGAAGCCTTATGGCAAATCTTGCTTGCTGACAGTCTCCCAGATAAGGTTGCTCAGTCAGAGTAAGGCCTACTATAGCACAACATCAGCCCGAGTAAGAGCCCCTGGTTAAGAGTCGGTTTCTCCCCCACTGACGTCTGTAGTTTGACAAGGATGCCCTCTTTCCCAGTACTCTTAAACTTCTTGATCGACTGGGTGATGCATCAATCAATTCTGCCTGATAGTGGATGTGAAATGAGCCCCGAATTCAGAGTTCCAGGCCTAAAGTATGCCGATGACATTGTCTTACTTTGTAATACCTCTCATTCACTACAACCAACGCTAGACCGAATCAACAGTTTCGCTGCAACTTTTGGTCTGAGGATCAATATACGCAAGACGAAG